TATTTTGGATGAAAAATTGCAAGAGTAATTTGATGCACACATTTGTATATTATATACACTGATATTTACAAATCACAATGGTGTATCTTCATTATGTTATCATCACTCACATTAAACACAAAGTTTGAAGTAACAATAATTAAAGACAACAGAAAAAATGTGATAAACTAAAGGCCAGTCCTGGCTGTTCATTGTGTGTATGTTAATTATAATAAATATAAAATGACATCATTTCATATCTTCCAATATATAATATACAAAACTGATATAACATAACTTAAGTAATACATAATCAAGGATTCAATATTTTCTATGCATTGTTTTTAAAAAAGATGAATTATTGATTTTGAAAATCTTTTCTGGTCAGTTTATTGTTTAATTTTTATTTCAATTGTCAGAGCTCAGTCTTGTCATTATAACTGAAATTCAAGACCAAACAAAAAAAACGGTTTCTCATGAAAGGAATCTTTACCACAAGATGGAAGAATAATTTCAATAATATATCAAAATACTAGTATACTTGAGACTCTGCTAAGTAGTTACTTCTTTGCATATTTGTTTTGGTTTTTACCAGATGTATATATGTGCAAAACATGAAGAGGGGTTGCCAATAATTGCATGTCATAATGTGCATCTTGGCACAGTCTTAGGGGTGCGGCTACGTTTGTTTATTATTTCCGGCTTGGCTATTTTGGTACATAAAACACCTGTATAAGTATAGCCAACATGTAGGTTACTGTGTTGCAAAATATTTTGACATGTCAAGACATTGGAGGTAATTTCATGTAGCCAAACTTATGCTTCTAATATATTAATCCTAAGTAACTGACACTGACCCTTGGCTATATATAGATATAAAGAGTGGCCTTTGGGTCTACCTGAATTGCTGGCAGACCTTCGTTGTTGTAAAGATTTACAGGTTTAGCTAGGTTAATGTGTGGAGAAATGCAGCGGTGATTCACCCTTTGACTTACCCCAGGCCATTCAGTTAGTGTTGGTACTGTCAGTCATTATCTCTACCTGTCTTGAGGTAAATACCTATAGGTCTTCTGGCTGATCTTTTCCCCTCCTGGTAGCATGTAGCTTTTTAACTCAAATATCCTCACAATCAAATATAATGATGTGTGTAAGGCAGAGTAGCCTTTTTATCACTAGTTTATAAAATGGACATACAATACAAGGACTAAAATTACAAACCACTATAAATACTTGGTATGGTACTTGAATTTCTGAAAAATAAGAAACAATACCAAAATGTGTTATCATTCTGAAAAGAATCTAATCAGTTACATCATGTGTTATCGCGGATATATCGAAGGGGATATAAATGGTTTCTGTATATACAGTATTTGTTTTCCCAGTATCTATAGTATATACATGTATACCTCGAATATCATTGATCAAAGTGTGTTTGAAGCATTTCTTTGTCAGCACCTTGTGGAGGACAATACTGCTGGCGTCACAGTAATTAGAGGTCATCTTGGGTTAATGTTTCCATCTAGGATAAATATTTGGAGTTGTTAGCTCTTAAGAGCCAATCTGGATAGAGGAGTTGATTACACGGACAGCTGATCGATTCAAATCAATATTTCTATGTGTAGCAATTTAGATTTTGTAGATTTTGGAAATATTCCATGTTTTTTTTAACAGCTGTGATTTGTGTTTGCTCAAAGTATTGTTGATTTTTGTAATGGACTGCTTCGTTCGTCATGGAGTTAACTGTAAATCCAACACTGATCTTGTAACGAAAATTACTTCTTAATGTTGTTTATCCTTTGGTTTACTGTACCTTTTCGAACTTTGGCAATATGTCAGATTTTCTCTGAATGGATGAAGATTTAAGGCTTAAGACTGACTAAAGTTAAATCAAGGAAGTTTGCGGTGTTTAAAAACATGTCATGGTTACTGAACAGGTTACAGAAATACTGATTCAAAAAAGGGAGGTAGAAAACTTTGTTGAAACATAATTTCTTTTATCAAGTATAAGTTTTTCATCTCCAAATGTTCCTGATATACATGTATTTATATTAGAACAACATTGATCTTTGTGACCTTTTAGTGTAAAATTGATGATTACTCACCATATATACACCAGCAATAATTAAACATTTGATTGCTAATTAATCACTTAGTCTATTCAGCATGTTTAATATACATTTTTTTTTATTAATTATGTGCATGATTGAGTAACTGAAAAGTTGCTTCAATGTTATATTGTAGCTTGGATTTAAATTAATACATTTTTCAAAATCCTTCAGAAAATAAAGCTTACAAACAATTGTGTTGCACCTGGCTATTTAAAAGAATTAATCTACTTGTAAAGGACCTGTTCACCTTGTTACCATATGTATACATATATAGGTTACCCTGACATTATACATTATAATAGGTTCTGCTTCAGATACCATGCATGTACATACATAAATATATATATATGTTGGCTTTTTAATCCTTAACTGCCCTCAGTTGAGTATTGTATTATATACACCATATGTAGTAGTAATGTACACATCATAATGATGCAACAGGCAATGATGGTATATATGTACCTTCATTATAGGAGACTTTGAATTATGTGGCTAGGCTCCTGTGCATATGCGTATAGATGTATGTCTACCTGGCCAGGTGTAAATAGTGCCACTTTTAGGTCTACATGTATACAGCTATCATAGCATGGGTCACTGCAGCTAATGCCAGTAATGTACATTATATATAATTATATACGGTATGTGTGTATATATATAGTGTTACGATAATCTCAGACACACACATATATATAAGTACATGTACCTGTTCCAAATGAAGCATATCAAGTACTTAAACTGTCATTACACTTTGATGTAATAACTCTTCTTGTTTTAACCATGTATAAGATAGAAAATTCATACATTAATCTTTAATCTTTAATTACATGTATACATTTTATCTTATAGTAATGTACAAACGTCTTGCATGTCAATCACTGATTGATGGTGGAACTGGGCCTGGTTATTTTCTCTAGTTCTCTCAGATTGTTAAAATGAGGTTTATAAATAATGCCTTAGTTTTACAACTACTTGTGGTGTTCTGGTCTATCAGATTATAATACTGAATCTTTATGCAATCAACTCTTTAATAGCTATCAATTTAACATTTCTGGAGTAAACATGGATGCAATATTTGTATTTATTTGTCTGTAAGCTAGCTAGGCTTTGACCAATTGGCTCTTTATATGGAATGTCTTGTTAATCAGTGGTCATATAATTACTGGTGTGAAATATATGGATTTATAACTTAGCTTAGCTCCATTAAATACCAATTAAAAAGTTTTATCTACTGTCTTATTTAGAATTTTCCATATTTTGTATCTAAAGTTCAAGCTTCTGTGTGTATGTGGGAGGGGGGCAGGGGGGCAGCATGTCATTTTTGTGTCAATCTATCACAATGTAAAGGTCAGCAGAAATATGTCACAAAAACTGTTGACAGACAAATTGAAACCAGACAGTAAAATTACCCTAATACATAAAGTTTATTACATAATTGGGGAAAAAACCAGTCTGAATAGACATTTCCTTGTTATGTAGATTTTGCTGTCAAATTACTGTAAAAAGTGAAAAAGTAGTCACATTATGTATTTTTTGCAATATTATTGTTGAAATCTCAGTTAGGACAAACAGATATAAAAGTATTAATCATTTAATTCATATACATGTACTGCTACCTCCTTCAGAAATATACATGTATAAGAATAATTTAAGTTGCTACATCCAAAACTCAGGTTGCATTGAGCTTCAAGGGTTAGGTTAAGAAAAAAACATGAGCCGTACAGACTTAGTTGTTAACTCTATGAAAAACAACCTATTTTAGTATGTTGTTGGTCACAAGACTGGCTTTTAATGAGCTGTGTCGTCTGAGACACTTGAGTGGTCTGTGCTACAAGAAAGTGGAAAGTGATATGGTAGAAGATGTGGGTTTGGTCCCACAGGAGTCCAGGTATTGGGTTTGATACCAGCCACCTTGTAATCTGTCATCAGATGAGTTCAGCAGGAGTTCTGGGGGTTTTCTTGTTGTACACAAATAATGAAAAAATACTAAGAAAATCTGCTACTCTAACAGATCTAGACTGACTTTTCCATACCAACATTTGTGATCAGATTTCTGTTAGTCACAACCACAAGTCCATATACATGTACCAAATTTCTTCTATATATATGTTTTTTGTACATGTACATGAATTTCCAGAGAGTACTATACAGGATTATGATGTGAACATCTGCAATCTTGTACACGTCTTGTATACTTCACTGCAGGTGTTGATTAAAATGGCAATTTATCTCAAATTATATATAATTCACTTACTTTTTTTAGCTGAAATGTATTTGACTACACCAAATGCACTGTCCTAACCTACACTGTACATCTGGTTTGGAGTGTGAAGACACCCTATGTAAGATTGGAAAAGCTTGTATCAATGCTAGTTCATATTAGTACTGAAATTACACTAGGTCACTGTTCTTTTAATTTGTCCTTGTTAATCAAAATAGACACTTTCAGATATTAATCCAGTTAAATCAGACACCTTGTTTATCTACAGTCGTTGATTGCAACATAACACCAAAGAAAATGTCTCCCTAAGCCAATAATTGTGACAGTGCTAATTACAAATTAATAGAAAGATGATTGCAATTATGAACAATAAGTTACAATATGTAAAATGTTTGTGTTCGATTATTTACAGACACCTGTCCGTGATATAGTTATATTGTATATACTGCAAAAGATTTAGAAGCTGGTCAAGGCTGAAGTTTTTTTGTTGTTGAAAAATCGCCCCCACCACCACCACCACCAAAACTGACCACATGTCTGATGGTAACCTGTACTGTGGTACTTTATTCCCATATTACAACCTGACAAGTAATCAGAAATGGGATTTAAATTTTAAATTTCTATTACAAGTAATCATTAACAACTGGTTAATTGTAATAGGTTTTCTACAGTGTGTTTAATTTTGTATGTTACAGGGCAAGACACTTTACAAGGTGAGATGGAGAGGCTATGGAGCTGCCGACGACACCTGGGAACCTATCGAAAATCTACAGTCATGTCTCGACCTCATTGAGGAGTTTGAGAAAAAGAGGAATGAACAGCAACTAAAACGAGCAAAGGAAAGAAAGACAAGAAAGGCATGTTAAATCAACACTGTACATAAGAAATGACAAGTCTAGGTTTATATTATTTGGAACTTATGCCATTGTGCAGTATTTTCTGTCCATCCAAACATCAATATTTTTATTTCAACAACTTCTTATGTCTAACCAAGTTGTTCAAATGAATGATCATGACCCACTTTTGTGTGTAAAATGTGTTAAGACCTTAAAACAATTTCTTCTAAATTCTTATGATAACTGGCCAGTAGCAGGCTAGATAAAAGTATGTGTAAATGAATGGCTCGATTCACTTTGAGGGGTGCATGAATAATATAAGTTGAAAACTTTCATCAAAGATTCATAAGGTATAGAGTTATGATATTTAGTTTGTTTAGTGTTAGCTTGCTAATTATATAAGTTGAAATCAAGTTTGTTGGAATTGATGTTGACTCGTTTTGAAGGTCACAGATGCTAGATGTATTGCCAACAACATGGAAAAGACATGAGAGATACAGGCCCATTTGGCCTCATTTCACCTTGGGATGACAGGTCTTAATTAGATACTGGATCATTTAAACGTATTTTAATGTTGGCAACCATAAATTGATTTATGTAAAGAAATATTCATAACCTGTTTATTGATTTATGTACTGAATAAAAACCAACACTTAATAATTGTGTGATACAGGACATGATGGAGGGACGTACCCTTGTGGAACCAGACCATTCACGGGAGGGGTCTCCTGCCCAAGTCCCAACCACACTGAAGGACACCTTTTGGAAGGACTTGGAAGAAGGTCGCCTCAACCTCTTTGCCACAGACATGTACTCTCGCGTGAAGGGTGGAGGTAGAGCTCCAAAATCACCCAAGGATGACGATGAGGAAGATGAGGAGAAAACTCTACGAAAAAGAGGGAAGAAGAAAAACTCTTCCAGAAACATAAGAGAAAGGGATAAAGGGTTACGAAGACCCAAACTAAGACCAAAGAAACATTCCTCAAGAAGTTCCATGGTCAGTCTTCTGACAGATTCCGAGTCGGACTCATCATCCAGTGATATTGAAAATATCAGTAGAGACTCTGTGCCCATAACTTATAATGGCAGCGAGGAACCAGTACAGACTGGAATGTGCAATGGAGAGAAAAATGAAGTTCTTACAGTTAATGTAAGTCGGGAAAACGGGGGAACAGATACATACACCTCTATATATAAAAGTTTTGGTTATAAAAAAAGATAACAAACTATCTAAAAAGATTCAGGTACAATAATATCAGATTTGTGATGCATACACAACTTTTTTATGATTTTCTTTGTTTACACAAGGAAGTGGTCCTCTCTGTATTCACAGTATTATCTGTAATTTTATTATTTAAATTTCTTTTTTATAGTCCAAAGAGAAGAGGGAGAATGAGCAAATTGCTTCCACTGAAGGTATGCCTCTTTATCTTTTAGACAAACTCTGGCTGTATTAGTGTATATCCTGATTCAGTTCTGAGACTGGGGTCTTGTTACAGATATATGATTTATGGTTACCGACCTGGCAGAACATTTTACAGATAAGATTATTGTATTCAGATTCACTTATACATGGGACTGATAAAAATAATTACCTTAGGAAGCCTCTAATCTTGAGTTCAAGTTCTTGTCTATCCTTAATGTGAAGGTCAACTAGTTCAAGGTCAAATTTGTGCATGGCTGACATGACACATATGTATACAGTAGTGTGAGAACATGGCCTACACCCATACATATAGCTGTCTGTAAAACAGTGATTCATTATCATAAAGTAATTAAGAATGTTGGCTACATACATCAACATAGTCACACAACTTTCATATTTTCTAATACTGTGTTTGATATTGATAAAGTCTTCTGCCAAATATGTATTTTCTTACTAAATATAAATGTACTGTGACCAGTTATATTCATTCTGCTTATATACTGTTTCTATGTTTATGTGGATAGACTTTTCTGTTCGCTTAGAAACTGTCGTAATACTGTTAGAATATACACATTGTATGCTGTTCAGTTTTAATGGTTCAGTTTTAATGATTCTGTTTTAATGGTCCAGTTTTAATTATTCTGTTTTAATGGTTTTGTTTTAATGCTGTTACAGAAGCGAAGACAAAGAAGTCCAAGAAACATAAGCTAAGTGCTTCCTCCTCAGGTTTGAAAGACAAATCTAACACAGAGAAAAGAGACTCTTTTACCAGTGTGAAGGTCAAATCTGTGACCTCTAAGGACAGCAAGGTCACAGGGTCATCAAAAACTCCTAAAATTGACACATTAAAACGGGAAGCCATCATTGATAAACCGTCTAGTCCAATTAAGTCCTATTTGTCAGGAGGCAGTACGCCTCCAAGGAAAATGTCTGTGGAATCCCCGAGTGAAAACCGGCAGCTACAGGCTTTAGCCTCTAGTACCCCAAACGACACAGGGTCAAGGTCAGACAGACAAAGACTGTCCAACAATTCAGACAATAGTTTTACCGGTAATGTCGGACACAAGCGAAAACATAGTCATGATTCAAGTAGTGCTAGACTCAGTAAACAACGAAAAGACTCTGACTTCTCCGATAGTGGCATGGGTAGTTCCGTGAGTAGTGTTACTAGTCAAGACTCTGATAGGGGAGCTAAATCAGGTGTAAAAAGGCGTGATTCTGTGGATTTCTCACAGCCGTTAGACGATATTTGGAATGGATCGTTCTTACCTTTATTACCAGAAAGTACCAAATCAGAGGGCAGAGGTGAGTGGTGTTGTGAAAGTGATCATTGGAGTTTTTATTTACCTGTTTCTGTCTCAGTACAGTAGAAAAAAATATAAGGATCATGCACAGTTACTGATGTGAATATATTGAGAGAATTTTGAAAATTCACTGTAATTTTTCGTAATTCATATGTTCTAAAATAATGATATAGTTCCATATGGAATGGTGTATATGTTACAATTGGGTGGCTGTCATTTTCAGGGGCTGACCTAAGCTTTGATATTGAACTAGATGATATAGACCTGGACGATTTGGATCAACAAAAGGTGGGTATTCCTAGGCATGCAATCAAACACAATATGAAACCGCTGGATGTCTTAATACAGGTATCGGATAATATTTGTTATTGTATGATTTCATGTACCTTTTTTGCTGAAACTTACTGATATTACAGGATAGACTGCTCAGACCATGTAAAAACAGTAAGACGGTATGGGTGTTTGACATGCATAAGTACAGTAGCAAATCAACATGGCGCTGAATGGAAGTATATTGGAGTATTTGGTACTGGGACCACTCACATTGACCTCTAAACAGTCATTAAATGATTGTGAAAGCATCAGTTGTCTGTGAACCTTGGTCAAAATGAGCATCATGTTTATATATGAAATAGTCACCTTCAGAAAGTTGTCACTGCTTGTAATATTTAAACTAGTTTATTGAGCTCACAAAGATAAACAAAAATAAGGTAATAAGAACCGTTTGTTTACATGGCTGTTACTACAAATGTACACTGGAGCTACAACATAGAATTCCAATGAGTACCTGACTTCTGACAACTTAGGTACAGATATGTATAAAATTCAGTTAAAGTTTACACTGGGGGATGTGTTTGGTAGAGCAGTGGTGCAGTAAGCATAGAGAACAATGATTCTGGTATAGAATGGAGTTCCCTATATATATATACTCAGATCAGGAATCTCTCATCATTGGCTAATTGCCCAGAGCACTTATATCTTTAATCTTTCTGTTACTTAGTGCATAGGTATGGAATATGTAAGTACATTATAAATACTAAGAAAAGACACACTATTTACTGGCCTACAAATATGTAGTTTTATACAGAATAAATTGTTATTTTGATATTGGGACCTCGGAAAATCTAAAATGAAGAAGCTAATTGAGATATTCAATTAAGAATTTACTGAAATGAAATACATGTACTATAATATTGTGGTTGTACAATCAACGATTTGAATGATTCAATATTTTTAGGATATCTCATCCATATAGCTAGTACTTTTAATCTTGATTTAAGTTACAGTTACAGAGTAATACACAAGATTGATTGATCAGTAATTTATAACTGAAATGTGTTTGTTTCCTTGTTAACTGATTAACATAAGAAAACAATCATTCATCGATGTACAGGACACTGTCTAGGTGTGTTCTACTTCCTGTTGTAGGTGTTGAAAACGTATCACGCTCCCACTGTATAAATTTATACATGCTTTTGACATATACAAACTGATTAGATGTGGTCAGGCTAATTCCCCCTTGGCCAAATTGTATTGGTTAAGAGGATAATGAGGAGTCTGTGATGTCTTCTACCTGTTGACTAGAATTAATCCTGCAGTTAGGGATGGTTTGGTTTGGTTTTGTCTTGTTTAACGTCCTATTAACAGCTTAGGTCATTTAAGGACTTGAATATGTTTCCTTCATAAACGATTGTGTTTGTTATAATGTACATGTACATGTTTCAGTTGTGTGTACACTGCCTTAGTTTCTCATGCAGTGAAACCTGACATTAGTGAAATCCCCAAATGACAATTTTTTCTTTGTTAAAAAATGTGCTTTCATGCACCATGCTTTCATATCCAACCAACTGTTCCCTTTGGTTGGTAAAGTCTTGTCTCCCTGTGTATCCTATCATCATCATATATATAGATGGACAATTTATGGATGAATTATATGACACGTACACTAATGTTGTGACATACCTGGTAGATGGGAACAAATTAGCAATACAAGTACAGATTCAAAGCAGTTTTATAAACAATATACTGGTATATCTTTATAAGAGATAGTCGTCCTCAGCTGGTTGATCATAAATCTATTCTTTAGTGGCTTAAAATATAGTTTACATGAGATATACATGCAAAGTTATATAGATTCTCTGGTTTAGAATTTACAGGTCAGAGAGCATTGGCCAGTTTAGTATACAAAATTATGCACATAATATACATGTATGTATATATATATACAGGTCAGGGACCAGTACACATGTACATAGGTGTAGTGTGTAAACATAAAGAGGTCATAAAACATTGTACTGGTTTACCAGAGGTCTGGCACCAATCTACAGGTAAAGGAACAGTGGCTATACACAGCAAGGCCGACCTCAACAGGTCTGTAGTGAGGTTAGGGCTGGTCATCAACCTGTCTATAAATAGTAACAGATGAAGGTGATCAATATAGGTCAGTAGGACAACACACAGTGATGGCATTGTCAGCTGTACAGGCCTAGTTAGCTGTTATTGGTGTTGTACAGAATAATATTTGTGTGATTGGCCTGAACCATCCTGAAAGGTATAGCGCAGAGTTTCCTCTGGCCCTGACACCAGACTTAAACATTTTGAGAGATGTCTGATGTGGGATGCCAGACTCTATCTGTCAAAATGTCTTAAGTCTGGTGACAGGGCCAGAGGAAACTGGGGGCTGTTTACTGTCTAGTAGGATATACTACCCTGTGCCCCAGGTATCTAATGGGTGAGAGTCATAGGGAGGATACCCCCTCCCTGTATATGTGGTAAGATGTTGTAACAGATCTAGATTAGATACCCCCAGTGTCTAATGGGAGAAAGTCCTAGGGAAGATACCCCCTCTCTGTATATGTAGTAAGATGTTGTAACAGATCTAGATTGGATACCCCCAGTGTCTAATGGAAGAAAGTCCTAGGGAGGATACCCCCTCTCTGTATATGTAGTAAGATAGTGCAACAGATTGGATACCCCCTCTAATTGCTGATGGGAGTGCCCCTGCTGGGAGATGCTAGAATGGTAATTACCCCATTCCCCTCCCCCTCCCCCCCACCACCTTATACCTGTGGTAGAAATATTGGGGGATCATTTGTACAGTAATACGTTCTAGAATCGGGTCAGCCTTGATGTGTATCTGTAAAAATAAATATTGGCATGACAAATTGGAGTGTTATATTGCATGTTTTCTTTCAATCATTACTGCTGTTCTCAGAATGACTGACAGATTAAGGCTAAATCGTGTTGATTCTACTGTGTCGGTACAATATCAATTAGTTCCTGTTTTTTTAGTAGTGTATACTTAATATTAAGGAATTTTCAAAAGAAGAACAATGGCACACTTATTTGTTTACTAATAAATAATATGTTGATTAATATGTAAAAATGTGATATAATATATTGTGATAGCCTAATGTTTTTATTTTTTTTATTTTTTTTATTTTTATTTAAAAAACCCAGGTAAAATAAGCTGTTAGAAAATGCTATGATTAAGTTTGTGTTTGATAATCACAATGTGCTATAAATAATCATGGTATAATTTAGCATGGTTCTTCACAAAGAAATTGAAAACAAAAAAATGTGATACAAGATTATATAAGTTGAAAATATCAGCATCAGTCTATCAAAACCAGACAAAAGCCTTTTGTAGTATATATATATAGGGACACAATCTGATGGCTACCTTGAGGTGTGCTATACAGCTGCTGTAGTCAGCAAATTAGGAATTATTGATTTCTTTTTTTACTGCAGATTTGGTTTGTTTATTTTTTATGGTAAATGAGTATTATTTCAAAAATGATATATTCATTATGCCCGGCATACTTTAACCCCTTGGGTAAACAATATAAGGAAAAATTTACTTACTGTCAACAAATCCACCTTGCACATATAGTTGTCTGGAAGCATCTTCTTGTAATTTTTCTTTGATACTTTGTTTTGTTGGCATTTTTTTTATACAGTCTTTATTCACCAATTCTTTTTTCACAGTCTATAAATTGTTTTTAAGAAATTAGATATATTATGTAATAAATGATAAAATACAATCAAGCTCATTTATCATTATAGTAAATATGTTAAGACATACTGAATATGCAAGGCATGGATGTTTGTAAGCTTTTAAACTTAATAAAATTACGTGGGAGCTTTCATATCTCTCAATATTACAGGGACTTTAATTGGCAGGAACTACATAATAAACAGGATATTCCTGATATTGATTTAGAAACATGTTCACAACGTTAACTGCACCAAGACTAACAATTAAATCTCTTCAAACTTTGTATCAAATGTTCTGAGGCTTGGATAACAAAAAGTTTTTTTATTTTCGTTCTACAAAAGAACAACATTCGATGTAAAAGTTTCACTTGAGTATATTAATTCTAGCATGGTTTACAATCTAGATTCTCTACCTTTATTCTATTATATACATGTACATATTGACAGTAGAATATATTGAACATGGATATGTATATTCTAAGAATTCAAAGCACTCATTTATCTTTCCTATTGGTACCTGTTGATAGCCTGTGACTGGGTTGGGTTTCTTCCTATTCTGTATAACTTATGACATTTCAGTCGATAACACTTGAACGTAGCCCTTAGATGTCCCCATCATACCTGTGTCATCATTCAACCTTAGCTGTGGCAAATATGTACATGTACTTAGAATCCTCAACAAACAGATGTTTGTTCATGCCGGTACTTTTTATGGGAATCCCTGGAAGGCATACCTTGATGACCAGTTATACTGTATTATGTATTGTGGTATATAGGAAACTAGTTTCTTTTGAAGTCGGAAATATAGTGCAGTTGTTTGTATATGTACTGTAAATGTACTCAGTATGTAGATCAGGGAAAATCAATGGTATTGCACCAATGGGATCACCTAGTACAACGACACACAGTGACCTTTAGGTTAAAGTAGGGCCCATCTCTGGATATTCTCTGTCCTACAAATTACATTGATCACTTCATTATATTATAAATTAATACATACCAAGTATTATATAAAAAAGAACCAGATTTTCTTTTTTAATCTAACTGATTTTAACAAACTTGAAATGATACAACTTGTATTTGTGGTGAAAGCTAAAATCTCCCATCTTCAAGCTTTACTTACGTATATATAATTATGGTCATTTGACCATCCTACACATACATACTGTATGACTCGGCTGACATCGCCGATCGGACAGCGACTTGGCAATAGATCTCTTTCCATTGAACTAGCAATGCATATAACTATTGATGTATGTCACAGACTACATGTATATTGGAAATCAATCTGA